TGAGATCGTATTATACATGAGATCGTATCATACATGAGATCATATCATACATGAGATCGTATCATACATGAGATCATATTATACATGAGATCGTATCATATATGAGATCGTATTATACATGAGATCGTATCATACATGAGATCGTATTATACATGAGATCGTATCATATATGAGATCGTATCATACATGAGATCATATTATACATGAGATCATATCATACATGAGATCGTATTATACATGAGATCGTATCATACATGAGATCGTATCATACATGAGATCATATTATACATGAATAAATACAGTAATCTGTCCCACAGAATATGCTGGTATGTGAGATAAAAAGAGTATTTTCTGCTTTTCTTGCTTCAGGTGGTGGCCTGCGGAGGTCAGCCATCCCAAAACCATCCCAGATAACATCCAGCGGATGAGACACGATGTGGGCGAGTTCCCGGTCCACTTCTTCGGCTCCAACGACTACYTGTGGACCTACCAGGCCAGGGTCTTCCCCTACATGGACGTGGACGCTAACAGCAAGGAGAAGATGGGCAAAGGTGTGGACGCCACCTAYAAGAAAGGTACGACTGCTTGCTCATTTCACATATTCTAAAATCAATAAAGATTTAATCAGTTTTATGTTGATTTGCTTGATGATCCTCAGCTTTGGAGGAGGCAGCTGTGAGATTTCGTGAGCTGCAGGCAGAGAAGGAGCTACGGCAGCTTCAGGAGGACAAAAAGAACGACAGGAAGCCSCCGCCGTACAAACACATCAAGGTTAGAGAGAAGATTTAAGCAGGCAGGATGGTCGCTCGGCAGCCGACCGGTCGACRCGCCGTCACATGGTTGTTCGGCGTTCGTTTTTGCACAGACCTTTTATAGTTCCTGAGACACCCCGAGCCGAGCTCCTGGGAAAACCCCTCCCGCTGCAGCATACATCACTGCATGGGATTCCATCCCTGGGGAGTCCAATGCGGGGAAAAAAAAGTCCTCAGCTCCTCACTCGACGTTGTTTATCTATAAACTGGTCCCTGATTAAGCTCCAAAGTTTTTATCAGTCAGATTCCACCGTGAAAAATGTCTGTTTTATCCCCTTTTATGAGTTTTTGGCCATTTGACTAACTGTAAAAATTGCTGCTTCCTGGTAAAACAGTCGGCTCTGGAAGCGATCGCTTTTTTCTTCTTTTTTTTCTTTCTTTTTTTGAAGCGAGTGGTTGAAGCAAATGCAACGTTTGAGCACTTTCAGCACAAAAAAACACTCCCACAAACTTCTGACCAATCACACCATACAGTTTGTATGTGTTCTCATGTGGAGGGGGTGAAAAGTTCAACCCGCGGGTTGCAACAAGAAGTGCCGAAATGTCGGCAATGCGAACAGTAGTGACGCAATTTTCATCATAAAACTGCGACAGTTCGGCAAGATTTCGGCAATTCGGCAGCAGCATGCAGGAGGCTTTAGTTTTCATGTCTTTGACTTTCAAAATGCAGATGTGTACCTGATGTGTACCTGTCTGACTCATCCAGGTGAATCGGCCAATAGGAAAAGTTCAGATCTTCACTGCGGACCTGTCAGAGATCCCACGCTGCAACTGCAAGGCGACAGACGACAGTCCATGTGGGATGGACTCGGAGTGCATCAACCGCATGTTGTTGTACGAATGTCACCCTCAGGTACCGACACACCTCAACCAGACTGACACAAGCTGCGTTTCCATTACAAATGTGCGCAAAACTTTGTCGATATTCTGTTAATGTCGAAAAAACAGTTTCGCAACTGCAGTG